ATCTGGCTAGGGCCGGCGCCTGGTCCATTCTCTCTGTGTATTCCTCGTTTTACATTGCTCCTCTGATTTGGCATGTCCTGATGGGGCTGCATGCCCGTTCCAGTTCTGTGGAGAGCCTTCACCTATTTCTAAGGATGAGTCTGGGGGCCCTCCCTCCAATGCCTTCAGTGTCCCATTCAACCACAGAACCATGTTTCATTTTAGTGGGGAATGAAATTGAATTGTATTCTGGTTTTTATTCTGTGAGATGACAGACAGATGTGAGCTATGTAAGCCTTTCCATTCATTAAACAGGCAATTACTGAGCTTCTACAAAGAGAAAGGCCAAGTGCCAGGTGCTATTGGCTGATAAACTTGCTGCTTTCCAGCCTCACTATAGGAGGCAAGTAAGCACATCGCTGAGCATAGACCAGAACGAAGGAGATAATCTGGCGGGATAAAGGTCACAGTTAAGGGCTCAGCTACTAACCAGAGTTGGCCCAGAGCCACCTCAGAAGAAAGGCCTGGCGTTCTGCTTCCAAAAGATCAACCACTGAAGACTACACCCAACGGAATGCAGCTCAGTTCTGACACACATAAGGTCACCATGAATTGGGATCAACTCAATGGCAACTGGTTTGATTTTGGTTCTGATTGAATGAGAGCACCCTCGTGAGAAAAGAGAGAAAGAACATTGTTCCAACAGAAGCAGAGGTAGAATGAGGTTGGCAGGAGTCTCAAAAGCAAGTTGGCCCTTGCTGAATGGCAATAGGAACGTTTTTCGTTTCGGAAGACGATTAAGTCACCGTGTGGGCAGTGTGGGGCACATGCAAAGAACCAGAGCACAGGGTGGAGAGGAGGTAAGAGCTCTGACCAGACTGGAGGCCAGTGCCTCTCAGGGTGAGCAGCCTGGGCTTCGTGGACACATCGGGGAGCAGGAGGGAGAGTGGGGCGGGGTGGGTTGTAGGGAGGAGGTAGTTGACACTGAGGTCCTTCAGGAGGTAATCCACGGAGGGCAGACACCGCAGGATGGGCTGAGAGAATGGGAACAGGAGGGCAGACTCAAGGAAAGCTGTGGGGAAGGGACAGCGATTTGCAACCATTCTAGGACAGCTGAGAAAGGAAGGCTGTCTCCGAGTGATGCCATTATGTATGGCACATATAGCTGGATTCCATGGGCAGGATGACTTTTGTTACTTACCATGTAGTTATTGCTCCCGTGAAACACAGCCTTTTCCTTGTTTGAAACCCTTGAACATCCCTGTCTTGGGTGGGTTTAATATTTCAAGCCTCACTTTAGACAAGGGAAACCAAGACTGGGAGGCTGTGAGTTGACCCAGCAACACGTAGAGATGGTACAGTGTTAGGGCAAGAAATCAGCGTGGTCCGATTACACAAGCCAATGGAACACAGAAGAGAGTTCAAAACCCATAGCAGCACTTTTCGAGCGTGGCTGAGGGCTCATAGTTAAACACCATGGGGAACGTCGGAAGGTGTTTTGCTAATAATATTCAGAGATACCGTATATTAAAACCATTGTGTGTGTGCACATATACATAGGACTTAAATCTTACATCTTTCATTAAGCTAGATGGCCATTTTCTGGTCCTATTTTCAAATTCAAGTGCTTTGGTTTCTTTTTTGTCTTTTCCCTTCCCCCATCGGAAAGTTTGCAATAAGAACAGTATGTCTAAAAAGCAGGCAGAGAAACCCACCATCAAAGGTTGAGCCATTTTAGTACTTTAATGTTCGTCACACATTTAACATAAACATGTTTGACAAAGTGACGACGGACACACAAGAGCGGGGAAGGACCCCTGCGGAAAGATTGGCGCCGATGAAACAGGAGGAGGGAGAGCTGTCCAGTGGACAAAGGGGAAGAGAGCTTACCAGGCTTTCAGTTTGAAGGCACTATTAAAACACAGCAATCGACTGAGAACCAACCTCTTCACGCTCATGAAAAGAGCAAGAGTAGATGATGGCAAAGGGGCAGAGCTGCTGCTAATGCGATGCTGGAATGCATGAGTGTCAAGGATTCTAACAAACTCTAAAAGTCTCTACACATGTCACCGCAGGGGGCGATTCTGTAAAATTAGATGCACACAGATACAAACGGTATGGTATTAAAAGCAGACCTTGCTATATAAAATGCAGGTTGCCTTTCTTTTTTCTCTAAGAGGAACAGCTTATAGACCCGCAGTGTACTCTGCCTAGAAGGCCCAAGTGCTCACCCAATGGCGATATGAACCAACAGCTGTCCTTTGGGAGCAGAGCTGGATGCAGCGCCTCGTGGCCCCCACCAGCCCTGCGTACTGCGAGTCTGTGTGCCTCCAGAAATTATCACCTGCAGTGTGTAGGACTCGGCCCACGGGCATGTTGGAAAACTGAGATCTGGCTAGGGGGAAAAACAAAAGTGGTAGGAAAGATAAAAGCAGCTCAAATTCGTTAGCAAAGCAAGAAGACTTAAAAAATGCTTCCAGTACAGTCAGAATGAGAGTGGCCATGACGACCCATCGCGTCTGCACGGTTCTCGAGGCTCTTGCTGTTTGCTGTTCTCCGAAAGAAGGAGAATCTATATTAAGTCCATCCGTCTGAGAGAAACACCGTTCTTGGTTCCGTTGTGGTAAACCGTTTGCTTGTCCTTTTAAATCTTGCAACGCATGGTCCAACGGCAGCGTGTCCACTGGCCAGGATGCGCTCACAGCTGATGCATCTCCAAGAAGTTCGTCATGAAGGCTGCCAGCTTCTGAACGTCTTCTGTGGTGACGGCATTGTACAGAGAGGCCCGGATGCCTCCCACAGACCTGGAACAACCGAAGACCCAGCGGTTAGGACAAATGCAGCTCATTAAACTGGCTTTGAGACAAGACTCTTTCTAGCTTCCTGCTCCAGAGGGGAAGAGCCCCTGAGCTCATTTTGTCCAACTTCGAAGGTACCTGGGAACTTCAGGCATCCCAGTCATGCGGAAATTCACCCAGCCCGGTCACGCTTTAAATGAGTCATGCAACGCTTCAGGAGAGATTACAGCTCGGTTTGTTGTTTGTGTGTTTGGGGGGGTGGTGGTCGGTTTTCTTTTCCAGTATATGAAATCCAGGAGAAGCTCAAGAGACAGCCATTGGCTTAATGGCTTCTTGGGAGGAGGGGAAAGCAATGCGTACAAGGAGGACAAGACTGTTCTGAAACGGATGGTGGTGGTGCCTGCACACCTCTTTTTGACGGGACCGGACTATTGAAGTGTCTGATATAGGAACGGTACGTCAATGGAATCTTAAGAAAAGGAGAGCAGCCTCTGGTAGAGCAGAGGAGCGGTGAAAAAGAGGAAGACCTTCACGAAGATGCACTGACTCCGTGGCTGCAACAATGGGCTCGGACAGAGCACCTGTGGGGATGGCACGGGACCAGGCAGCGCTTCGTTCTGACCAACAGCGTGTCGCTACGAGTCGGAGCTCAATCAACAGCACGGAAGAACACAAGAGCAACGCACAGCTTCACTCTTGGCAGAGAAAGCAAAAACGATGAAGACTATTTTAATAGTTAACTAGGGCATTTGACGCTGCTCACTACGCCATCCAACCTAGGGCAGGAGTTAGACGCAGGAGCCAGGCGCCCTGACGTGCAGGCCTCTCATGATGCCTGGTGCTATTCTCGCGAGTGAGAACCTGTGTTGCTCATAAAATACACAAAAGTTACTACTTTATAGAGATGTTCACATGGAGTGGCAGCGCTCCTCTACTGGACGAAACAGACTCAAGGAATATAGGACAATGGAGGGATTACCGAAGGAACTTTATTCCGAGATCAAGTGTGAACATTTCTTTTTATCGGCATTAGGAGAGAATGTTAAGGCTGCAATGCCGACGGGTTCCTGTGCTGCCGGACTTGGAAGCACCTTCCCTCTGCACCGGAGAACCATGGGATCTGCTAGGCTCCCGTAGGAGGGCCGTGCCCAAGGAGAAATTGCTACATTTGTAAAGGACACATGACCTTGCTGGAATGATTTTTCATCCACGTCTACAGTGTGATGATGCGAGTGGACATGATTGAAAGGTTTGCGCAGCCCAGTTCTCAGAAGCAAAGCCTAGAGACAGGTGTCGTGGTGACCACAAAATCGCCCTGCTGTGTTACAGCACACTGGTCTACGCCTTAAACTCCCCCCTGGGTGTGAGGTGCCTTGAAGGGATTTCAGATCAGCAGTTTTCAAGTGTATTTTAGAAGAATGGCTGTTTTCAAAAACAAAAATCTTACAGGTAACTCCAACTATGTAAATGCAGATAGAACAGAGCTACTCTTGATTGAAAAAAAATTATAAAGATGTCCGTCTCCCCTTCTTTGACTCCCCACTGGACACTTGCCCCTGAGCCCTTCAAGGACGTTGCCAGGCTCCATGAAGTCGTGCGGGAGGCCAGGTTGTGGGTAACAGAGAACAGCAAGAGAGTGTATACGGATGAATCCTTTATTCGGATATATTAAAAAGCCTGGCAGGCTGTGTTTCTGGGGTGGAGGGAGGCCTTCACCCTTGTGAGTTGGAAGTGAATCCCAATTACATTCTCATAATCAATATTGTTCCCCACTATATCCTCCCATCATAGTACTACCTTACAAGGTACCTTTTACAAGCACATGGTTGATTGCTATGTAGTCCGAAGCTTTAACTATAGGAGCAGACCTGTGCTATTGCTCTCTAGCCTCTGAAAACAGCCACTCCCCCTTACCTGCCCCTCATGCTGGTGTTAGGTTACTCCACCAATGTACTCCGGGACCTTTAGAGTTCCAGTAGAGCCCACCTTGTTAAAAATGTGGTTACCTGTCATGAGAGGGGTTTGCACGTCCCCTGAGTGCATATACGCCTTGGTTGGAAAGATTCTCTCTCTGTGCACGGACCTGGCTCCTGAAGTCATAGCGGTCCCGGAGGTGAGCACTCACATGCCTTATCTTGTCTGATGTACCTTTACTTTTACCCCACGATTACACAACCGCCCCTTGGACCCATTCGACTGTGAGAGCTGGTACCCAGCACAGGTGACCTGGCGGGATAAGCACTCCTCAATCTGTATGTGAAAGACGACATCGATTCTCTTACAAGCTTCTGGGTAAGAGGTGTATGCTCACGCACCTGTGCCCTTTCAAGGACAGCATGTTATGTTCTTGAGCCTTATCGAGAAATCTTTTTTCTAGAGCATCATCTCCTTTGGCGTTGCCAATGCGGAATGGGATATTCATCTTGCTCCTATTCTGGGGCTCCACCGGACACCTTAAAATCAAAAACAAAAACAGAGCATGTATTGGTCCATCTACTTGTGTGAACTGTCATTCAAAAATGAACAGAAGATGAACCTAGAGACAAGTAGAATAAAGGTTCCCGGAGGTTTGGTGGGGCAGTTCCACTAGGCAACACTTCAGGTTGCAAAGAGTCAGAACCAACGGATCAGAAGCAGGTTTGGTTTGGGGACATTCGAGTGGTGCAACAGATACAAAGTTTCCAACATATGACAGCCTTTCTCTACGCTACACGCCGAAGAGAGAAATAAGATGAACCGAAGACTGACTACAAGATTTAATAATTATGAGCAACAACCTTACAGTACTTCTCACAATGTACCATCAAAGGCCGTATGATGTTGAGCCTCCTACTCATCTCTGTGCCTCACTTTCCTCATCTTACCGGGAATAATAATAGAACGTATCCCACGGCGTTGTTACGAGGATTAAATGACCCAATGTAGAATGGTGTGGTACATTTAAAACGGCCACAGCTTCTCTGAAGTTCCTTCCACCCGGGGGCGTGAGCTACCTCTGAGCCTGGGATGAAGTTGTGGCTTGCTCTGACAAACACAGGGCAATGGAAGTGCTGCTGTGGAAATTCCATGCCAGGCTTCCAGGGGTCTTGCAGTTTCTCTTCCTGCCATCTTAAAACATTGCTGCCATTGAGCAAGCCCTAGCTAGCTGTTGGAGATAACAGGCCCGGTCAGCCACTGCCAGACATGTGAGGGTGGCCATTTCAGACTCTCTGGCTCTCGAAGGGTCCCCAGATGGTTTCAGTCCAATGAGACACCAGCAGAAGAACCGTCCAGCTTAACTCAGCCCAAACTGCTGACCCAAGAATCCTGAACAGATAAAATGGTTATCCCTCGTGGCGAAGGGGAACTCTAACCACGAGGCCAGCAGTCGGAAATGACCAGCCGCCCCAAGGGAGAAAGACGAGGCATCTCAGTCTCGAAAATCCACAGGAGCAGTTCTACTCTGACCTGTGGGGTCACGGGATCAGAATCAACTGGGTGGCAATGAGACTGAGTGACAGGTTTGGGGGTGTGAAGAAGCCCTGGTGACACTGCCAAGAAAGCACCGGACTGCTAACCACAAGATCGGTGGTTCAAGGCCACCAGTGAGTGGCTCTACAAGAGAAAGAGAAAGCTGCCTGCTTTCATAAAGCTTTACATGTCTCGGTGAGTCAAAATCAACTCGAAGGCAGTAGCTTTGGTTTCAATTACATATAAAGCAACTAAAATCATTTAAAACCTATTGAATCCAATAAATGTGTCCTTTTATTCCAGCATCTTGCACGGGGTCTTAGATGTATATTAGCAAAAACTAAAAACCAAACTCAATGCCATCAAGTCAATTCTAACTCATAGCGACCCTATAGGTCATTGTAGAACTGACCCCCGTAAAGCCTCCACAGTGGTAAATGCGTATGAACACAAACTGCCACATCTTTCTCCCGGGGAGCAGATAACGGGCTTGAACTGCCAAACTGTGGGTTAGCAGACGAGCAGTTTGACCACTACAACACCAGTGCCCTTAATAGATATAAAACCCAAACCACCGTTAAGTCTATTCTGACTCCTAGCAACCCTGCCCACAGGGTTTCTATGAGCTGCCAGCCTCATCTTTCCTCCATGGAACAGCTGCTGGGTTTGAACTGCTAATCTCAGGGTTAGCAGGCTGACCCACAGTGCTACCAGAGCCCCTTGCAGTGTGTCTACTGTCTCAGAAATAGAAATGGGTAACGAGTGACTTTCCATGTAGGAGGGGCCAGTGTTTGACTTCAGTTTCCGACCTGGGGCATCAGCAGCCCAAATCACTTCCCACTGACAACCACAGAGCAAAGAAAAGGAGCTGGCATGCTGGCTGAGAAAGGACATGAAACACCACAGGTAAGAACCCTCTCGCCCCGTTGTGCAAGCATTTTCCATTTTATTCTTGCACTTCTCCAGGGTCGGACTCATTAAAATTGAACAGCAAATAAAAGTCGAGTGTGGAAGCCCCATGAAAAGTTATGCTCTCCCTGCAGGCACATACATAATTCCTGAGCGAGTTAATAGGAGTCAAGTGCACACCTT